GATAACCAAGATTTTTAACTCAGTTATTTCACTGATAGAAACTTGTCCTAAGAAAACTAGAAAAATTTTAGGTATAGGGAAATTCATTACTTTCTGTAGAGAAGGAACTTGAACTAATTAAATAAATGATGGAATAACCATGAAGGACTGTGACATCAGGTTGGGGTATGTGGGAGACAGGAATAACATGTTATGAACATTTCATAATAATAGAAAATGCCACCGTATAATGGTTAGTGGAAAAAAAAAAACTGAACTAGACATATATCAAAATATTATTTGGGCTAATCTATATCTAATGACCTTGTAGTTTTTCTTTATGTGTCACTGTGATTTCAAATTACTTATATCACTTTTATAATAAAGAAAATAAAATAAAAGCCTATGAATAGAAAAAATGCAAATATTTAGAAATATTTTAAAAGTATTATTAAAACCCACAGAGAAAGTATAGTATGGTAAATGGCAGCCAGTGTTGAGTATTTTCATTCATTGAGATCCCCAAAGTTCAACAGAAGCCTCGGGACTACCAATTAACTCGTTAGTTACAGCATAAACACCATCAATTTCTAGAACAGCTTTATAAGAAAGTCAGCAGATAACTGACTTATGACCTCCCCAACAGCACCCAACTGGGAAACAGCTCTGTAAAGAAATGTTCTCCTTCTGGCAGAGAATGACCTGGTGACAGCCTCTGTGCCACAGGAGATCCTGGTCCTTTTTTAGGCTTTTTTTTTTTTTTTTTAAGGAAGGAGAGATTTCAAACTGTGACCTTATGGGTAAGGAGCAGAGGCATCCTGCTGGGAAAAAATGCTGCAAATGGAGCCTGCATATTGCCTTTTCCCTAGTTCAGGAAGCAGTACTGCCTATCCCGGACAATGTGAAACTTCCTGTTTATAGACAGATGACAATACCATTGAGATATTACAACGAAGATGCGTCTCTGCCATATTCAATAAATGTACCATTTCTGCTTCATGGAAATTTGTAAAGTATGGTACCATCATGACAGTATGATATACCATTGAAAGGTACATTAAAGTAATCCATAACGCTTTCATGAAATGAAAGATGTGAATGCAAATATCCACAGGCAAATGTAGGTCTATAGGGCATGAAGATTTCTCCAGGCAGGGTACTACATATTTTTAAGTCATATTAAATTTATCGTGAAGAAAAATAATTTTTAAGGAATTATTTTATTTAGCTTATTTATTTAATTTGTCCAGAGAGGATAGTGAGAGAGAAAGAGAGAGAGAAAAAGTGAGAAAGCAACCCACCAGGTCTAGGACTCAAACTGCCATGTGGGAGTCCAACATCCCTAGCCACCATGCCACCTGCTGGCCTCAGTAAAATAATTTTTAAAGAATTCTACTTGCGCCAGTAGGTGGCATGCCACTTAAGGCGCTGGACTCCCATATGGCTGACCATGGTTTGAGTCCCAGACCTGGCAGCCTCCTTTCTCACTTTCTCTCTCTTTCTGTCTCTCTCTGGTAAAAGTACATGGTCTGTAGCAAATTAAAAAATAATAATAAATGATAAATTAAATTAATAATGCAAAAAAAGAAAAAAAAGGATTATAGTTAACTGAAAAGCAAGTATAAATTATCAGTAGCTATAAAATTTAAACTCCTGGTTTATGATTCTTAAAATTAAAATGCTGCGGGGACCAGCAGTTAGTGTAATGGCTATGTCGCTGGACTCCCATGTGGTTGACCGCAGTTCACGTCCTGAACCCGGTGGCTTGAACTCACGCCGAGCGTGTGTGCGTGCGTGCCCAGGATGCCAGGAAGAGAATGGAGGAGAGGGGATTGCGGCATAGCCATCCCCCCTGAGGGGTGATTTCTCGCTTTCTGTCTCTCTGTCTCTCTCTGTCTTTCTGGTGAGTGCACACGCCCTATAGCAAAAACCTCTAAAAAAAAAAATTAAAATACTGCAATGTAACAAACAAATCTGCAAGTTTAAAAAGTTCAGATAACATTCAGTATTTTTTCAGTAAAATGCAAATGCTTCATATTTTGAAGTAAAATCATTTCTTCTATACCCATTAATAACTCTTTTTTTAACTTACTTTATTTTTTTTAAATATTTTTTATTTAAATTTATTTACTTACATTCATTTACTATACATCATTACAGCATAGCACATCAACATACGTGCTATTGGAAATATTTAGACTAATTAAGTTCATTAGTGATTCAATTAAATGGGGGGAAAAGGCATAGAAAGCAAACATGGATACCAGAGGCAGTGTGGAAGGAGGGTGGGACACAGAGGGTGAGGGATAGGGAATCAAGGATGGCAAAAAAAAAAAAGCAAAATATACAGGAAATAAGTATTTCAATATACATCGGTACCAATGGGACTCATAAAATAAAATTCAGAATAAATCTGAATCTGTCATAATTTTAGAATTTATGGATGTCACTATGATGAATAATAAAGTTTTATTGAAAAAAATTTGACATAATTAAGAGAGGAATTGAAATAATTGCCTGTTCTTAAATATACAGAGTTAATATTTTGAAAGAAGAATCTATTCTTGTAGGTCCACAGGTGGACAACATATATGAAATGTTGGAAGTCATTTGGATTATTGGAATTTGGTTCTTGGGGCAACTTATAAATGCTGAGTGTGTACCACTACCCATGATTCTAATTGGCAGAAAACACTTGGGGTGGGATGAGGAGTTCAGAGTGCAGTGTGAGACCCTGTTCTGTCAGGGTACTTGTGCTTGTGTCTCCCTCTCTTTCTTTGTCTCTCTCTCATGAAAGAAAGAAAGATTTAAAAAAGAAAGTAGATCTTAAAGAGAATGATATTAACTTCTTCATGTAACACTGGAGCTGTATCTTTAAATCAATGCCTTATATTTGATTCTTTCACGCCATAATTTCTTTTTTTTTTTTTTTTTGGAGAGGTTTCTGCTATAGGGTGCGTGTGCTCACCAGACAGACAGAGAGAGACAGAGAGACAGAAAGCAAAATCCCTTCTCCTCCATTCTCTTGGGATCTTGGGCACACACGCACACGTGCCCGGCATGAGTTTAAACCACCAGGTACAGGACACGAACCGCGGTCGACTACGTGGGAGTCCAGCGACATAGCCATTATGCTAACTGCTGGTCTCTACTCCATAATTTCTTAAGCTCAATAGTACTGACATTTGGAGCCACATAGTTATTTATTTTGGAAGACTGTGCACTGTAGGATATTTAGTAACAGCTGATTTCTCTCTGCTAGATGCCAGGAGCACCCACTTATCCACCCATCCACATCTACCCAGTTGTGACCACCAAAACCATCTCCAGACATTGCTGAATGTTGGCACTGAGGGAGCAAAACTGCCTGAGGTTGAGACTCACTATTCTATATTCCTGCTTGACTGATTACATTTACTGTTTTAAATGTTAATAGGCTTGCTAAGGAGGCTGGTGTTTTGGGGAAATTTGGCCCACTTACTCCTGTGGCAGAGAAACAGTGTTACAGACGTTACAACCTGTTCACGAACCCTACTCAAGGTAGGAACAGCATCTAAACGCATGGTTGGTGCTATTTCCTATTCCACACATCCTCATTTTATATGCATAGTCTATAGTGGTTGCAATCTCTGCTTTCAAATTCTACATTCTCGTTTGTGTTTCTCATTTGATTCTCACAGTAACCTTTGAATTTCTAAGTGGTCTTTAAAAAGTTTGTAGAAAACGGGTATTAAAAAAGATCTATGCAGGCACAGATTTAAAAACTTTTTGCACCGAAAAAATAATTCTATTTTTTCTAAGAACTTTTCTGAAGTCTCCTTTAGGAAATCCTGGCCTGTATGGATTCAGTAACATTACCAATGGTCTCAGGACGATGATCCATCCCAGATCTCAAGACCATGTGCCAACTCAAGACATCTAATTGTGAATCCTGTGTTCACTCCATCACTGATTACAGTATCCTAAGCATAATATCGGGAGTTTTAGAATTCTAGCCTGGATATCATTGGTTTCTTGTTCACACTATATTTAAAAAAAATAACAATTTTTCCAATTAACCTTTGTTTCATGACATTCAAATAGTATTAAGCTGAGACTTTTAATACTACCCACTTCATCCCATTAAATTCAGTAACATACATAACCTATCTATCTCATGAAATCTCTATAATCATTATAATCGCAAACATATCAGAAAAATAGTCAGAAGAATAGAGTACCCACATTATTATTCCCATTGTGGATATAATTTCAATTCCTAAAAGTAAAAATGTATATATGTTCATATGCTTATCCAATTTGTTCATATAAAGTAATAAAAATGGATATTTCTATTTTTTTTAATCTGCCAAGGGGTGCATGCATTCACCAAAGAGAGACAGAAAGAGAGAGTAGGACACGGCACCCCCAAGGGAGGGTGGTCACATCCCAATGTATTCTCCATTTTATTTATCCTCTTGGGATGTTGGGCACATGAGTGCACGTACTTGAAATATTGTTCAAGCCTCCAGAGCCGAGCGGATTGACGTATGCAGCTGGCTATGTAGGATCTGACTCTCTTAAGCAGTAGATCATGGCATGGCCTGATATTCCTATTTTATATGATTTAAAATGTTTCATTTTATGATCTACATTGAACACAATATTACAAAAAATGTAGTCACTTTGCTACTGTCGGGGAAATATATGGATTTTTTTTGTTGTCGTTTTTTATGGAGTTATCCTAAAATATAGACAATCATGAGAAACATTTGAAAAGAAAATTATATGAATTTCTTCTAAAATGTCAGCCCATTTAAAAATATATGTATTAACACATTTGTATTAACTGGATCCATTTTTATCTTGAAGCCATTGTTACCTTTGGTGTTACTGAACATACACAGGTATTTTCTTTTTTCCTTAATAATGATGAAAACAACGTATGTCACTAAAAGCCAAACATTTCTTACAACTGAAAACCTCTTTCAGTTTTATACCATTCCCCTCAAAGGAATCATTCTTTGATGGCTATAACGTACCTCTTCTCGATGCTCATCTCCTGACCGCTGGATATACCACTTAATAGATGCTTGCTGGGATTTCGGTATGCATTCCAGAAAAGTTGAATTAAATTCAATGCCAAAAATCACCTTTTCATCAGCAGTCTCATGACTAATGCCTGGAAAGCAAACATGGAATAGGAGATTAACCTTGACCTGATTTGAAAAGCAATGGGAAAATAGACTGATTTAGAACAGATGCCATGGGCAAAGAATCACACGCATTATTAAAGAGAAAGGAAATTCACGTTATAATGCTGTTACCTAAGAGTCAAATATTATCTAATAGGTTAATTTTTAAAACTATATTCCTGTATTGCAATTTTTTTCTTTTGTCAATATATTCACTATTAGAAAATGCTTTTTTAAAAAAATAATCATTCCTGAGATCTAAGTCTAACCATTGAGTCTTTTTCTCAGCTGAATAAACTTTTTGCATCCTCTATGCTTAAATACCTTTTTATTTATATAAACTAATTTTCGGATACTATAAGAGTCATTGATTTCACATTGAAAGAGAAATTTGTTTTATGGTTTTTGCCATAGGGCACATGTGCTCACTCAATATACAGAATTAGACAGTGTGAGGAAAAATGAGAAATCACCCCCCCACCAAAAGGCTGGCCATTCACAACCTCTTCTTCATTATCCTCCTGGGATTTTGGGCACATAAGCACAAGTACCAGGCATGATTTTCAAGCTGCCTAGTCCAGGACTTGAACCATAGTTGACCATGGAAGAGGCTAACATCTTAACCATCATGCCACCTGTTGGCCCTCAATATACATTCTCTATGAGATAGTTAATGGCATACTAAAAGAGCCATGTCTCAGATACTTTACACTCATAGATCAATTGCACCATCATAAATACCTTCTATCCAGAGTAGCCACAGGTTGACTTGTGTGTGATTCAAGATCTACAGCTTAAATTTGATCAAATAAAAAATGACACCACTCAGCCTGGCCCAAACACATACTTTTTCATCATATCGTCAGAAATCTCAATTCTACAAACGGACCTCCTTAGCATTTTTGGCATCAACCAAACAGTAAGGCTTAAAGGACCTAAGTAAATCCTCAACCTAAGCACACATGATTATAAGCAAATAGCATGAATGTGCATACATCCAATAGTCAGAGTTCTTTCAAAAAGCTTCTTTTGAACTTATTTGTGTTTTGCCAGCAATGATTAAGTTAAGCATGGTGACACCATTATGAATTAACCTCATCTAACCTTTAAAATATGTGGATTCAATTTAAACCTGTAATCTATCAACCATCTCCACCAGTTCAACAGATTATAGTTGCAATTTTCACAGTTAATAAATTTCTAGTGTACAGAAAGATCACTAGTGCCGATCAGAGGAGAGAAAGACGTGTGTCTTCTCACAGTAATGGAGACGGGTTCCCTGAGAGAGAGGACTCCTCAGCAAAGAAGGGACAAAGCAGGCTGATTGTCAGGTTATGGAGCAAGGACCCAGGAGAAGATCAGTTAGACTGATTCGAACAAAGAATGGGTGAATTAAGTAAAAGATTAATTCGTGAAATCAACAGGACAAAATGAAACAGTGAGCTGGTTGTCCGAGTCATTTTTCAAGTCAGTAAAAATAATGACAATGACACAAAGTCATCACTCCATCGGTGTGGCTGAAAGGGAATTTACTATTGCTGCCAACAGTGTTGGTCTCATTTCTAAATGATAGATTTCCTATTTGTAAATTCAAAACAAATGTATGTATGCACATACACACCTATATACCAAAACACATACAAGCATATGACAGAATATTATTTTACTATTCTCTAACTTTCAAATGTATACAAATTGTTCACAGTAGTATTTTATAATAAGAGATCTCCTCATTAGGTGTAAAATAATTTGGCAGAGAGCATTTTATCTTTCAGATTGCAATGAAAAAATTTTAATAATGGAATGGTTGGAATATTTCTTTATGATAAGTATATGACATATCGCTGAAGTTTAAAATTAGATCTGTTTCCCATGGTTAACACCGCTC